TTCTTTCTTTCTTTCTTTCTTTCTTTCTTTCTTTCTTTCTTTCTTTCCTTTCTTTCCTTTCTTTCCTTTCTTTCCTTCTTTCTTTCCTCATTGCAACACAGGGCGCCCCAGCGTAATGTTATGTTGCTATGGCTTCTGCATCGACTTACTCATCAAGCTTGCGAAGACAATGAATTTTACCTACGAAGTTCATCTAGTGGGTGACGGTAAATTTGGCACACAAGAACGGGTAAGAATACCACCTTCCTCTCAGTCTAAGTGAAACGGGGCCAAAACAGTCCACAACTGGCAATCGTTCTCAATTCGCTTTGCATTTATAACCGTTGCTTATTTTTCTTTCCATTCCAAAAAAAAGGGGGTGGTAAGTCTATGTTACCATCATGTCCAACCACTGTGCGTCAACATCTGGGGGTTGCACCTTGTCAGCATTCAACCAAGTTGAGAAACAGCTCCCTTGCTCTGGAGCCTGTTCTTTTTTTTTGGGGGGGGGGTGTGCTTAAACTGTGTCATTTACCCCAGCCGCTCTTAAGGCTTACTAGTAGCCATAGTCCATGTTATGCACTTCTGTCCCCTTCTCTGCTTGGACGTCCTAAATGGTTCGTGGAGAGAGTTACTCCAGAGGGAAGAGCTCAGACATTAACTGAAAAGGCTCATTTTGGACAGACCTGCACCACGGAAGTTTGACCCTGGCTGGGGCTCTAATTGCAGGTGAACAACAGCAACAAGAAGGAGTGGAACGGGATGATGGGAGAGCTGCTGAGTGGCCAGGCCGACATGATTGTGGCCCCGCTAACCATTAACAATGAGCGGGCTCAATATATCGAGTTTTCCAAGCCTTTTAAGTACCAAGGACTGACCATCCTCGTGAAGAAGGTAATGCACAAATACCGACAGGGCACAATGGTAGCCGAGTATATGAAGAGAAGTGGGAGTTGAATCCCAGGCCCCCAGCTAGGATGGAAAGATGGAGCTTGGAGTAAAAGGAATGAAGCCATCCTTGCCTGATAATACCCAGCCCAAAATTAACTGTAATCCTAAACAATAAGTGAAGGGGAGCTGCAGAAATAAAATTTAACAGCAACCTCCCTGATACGGTGTGGATGCTTATGCTTTCCAGCCGATTATGACAAACATAGCGATAGCAGTAGCTCTTAAGACCTATATACCACTTCACGGTGCTTTCCAGCACTCTCGAAGTGTTTACAGAGTCAGCCTCTTGCCCCCCGCAAACAATCTGGCTCCTCATTTTACCCACCTCAGAAGGATGGAAGGCTGAGTCAAGCTTGAGCCTGGGGAGACTTGAACTGCCCAACTGCAGGCAGCTGGCAATCAGCAGAAGTAGTCTGCAGTTCTGCATTCTAGCCACTGCACGGCCACCAGAGCTCTTGAATGGACTCCCTCATGCTTGGGGGGCAGCCAATCCCTGAATTCCTCTTGCTCTGTGAAGACATAAGAGTGGCAGGGTAAGAGTTTCCGCTTTCCTGCCCTGCTGTGGATTTCCCAGCAGCATTGCAGTGGCAGCGACGGGAAAACGGGTCTCGTTGGTCTGTTCTACCCTGTTTTCAGCAGATCTGATTCTGGCTGGAGACAGCCCACTCTTTGCAGGCTTTTTCCAGCCACGATTTCCTTCTGTGTTGCAGGAAATCCCCCGCAGCACCCTGGATTCATTCATGCAACCGTTCCAGAGCACACTGTGGCTCCTGGTGGGGCTGTCGGTTCATGTGGTGGCTGTGATGTTATATCTGCTGGACCGTTTCAGGTACCCTAATCCTCAGAATGGGGAGGAAAGACAAGGCGCGTGTGCGGCTGTGGGTGGGTAGGGGCTGTCATGAAAAAGCCTCTGCAAATGGAGATGCTGGGAATCCAGAATGTTGACCACGATTGTTGCTCAAGGTGGAAAAATCCAAAGGCCATCACCATCAGTTCAGCTAAGCAGCCACTGAACAGTCTCAGGATATGCTTCCGTTTGCATGATTTATGCGTCATCCAGTTGGAGGGAAGGACTAAAGTTACATTCCGCTCAAACTAGGGGTGAGATTCTACCGGTTCGCACTGGTTCTATAGAACTGGTTGTTAATGTTCCCGGTAGTTTGGAGAACCGATAAAACGGACCCCTGGCTGGCCCCACCCCTCTCCGCCTGCTCCTCCGCTCCCGGAACCGGTTTTTGTTATTGCACATGTGTGACATTTGCGTGCATGTGCGACAATCCTTGCCTCATTCTCCCCTGCCCGCCCCTCCCTTCCCGGCCCAGTCGATCATTATGGCGCATGCGTGACATTGCGTGCATGCGCAACAATCGGGGACGGCATTCTCCCCTGCTGCCAGCCCCGCCCTGCAGTTCCCGGCCCAGTCAGCCATTATTAGCTCAAACCCTTGGAGTTTCCTTCCCTGTTTCTCTTCGGTAACCCTCAGGCTGAACCGGAACTTGCTCTTGAGTGGACAGGCACATCCGTGCCTATAGCGGCTCTTGCTAGATGGGGCAGAACTCAGCCAAGTGGGGTTGCTTTCTCTTTTGCAGTCCCTTCGGCCGATTCAAAGTGAACAGTGAAGAAGAGGAAGAGGACGCCCTGACGCTTTCATCGGCCATGTGGTTCTCCTGGGGGGTCCTTCTGAATTCTGGCATCGGAGAAGGTGAGCCCCAGACCCCTCTGGGGAGGGAAATGGCTGAGCCTGTGATCAGAGAGGAGAGGCATCAATAGAAGGAGGAATGCCTCCCTTGAGTCTGAGACCTCTCTCGGTCTCTTGTCTTTTCTTTTGGGTCTTTACAAGTTCCGCGTAGCAGATAATCAGAGTTGGAAGGGACCTTGTAGGTCATCTAGTCCAACCCCCCCACCCAAGTGGGAGACCCTACATCATTTCTGACAAATGGCAGTCCAGTCTCTTCTTGAAAGTCTCAAGTGATGGCGCTCCCACAGCTTCCGAGGGCAACTTCTGTTCCATGGGTTGATTGTTCTCCCTGTCAGAAAATTCCTCCTTATTTCCAGGTTGAATCTCTCCTTGTTCAGTTTCCATCCATTATTCCTTAGCTGGCCTACAGGCACTTTAGAAAATAGCTTGGCCTCCTCCTCTCTGTGGCAGCCCCTCCAATATTGGAAGACTGCTAGCATGTCCCCCCCCCCCGGCCCTTCTCTGTCAAGCACAGAAAAAACTTTCCATTTCTCCCTCTCCGACTTCAACGGATTCCTTTTTTTCTCTTTACTCTCTTGACTCTTATCAGGTGCCCCAAGAAGTTTCTCAGCTCGCATCCTTGGCATGGTCTGGGCTGGTTTTGCCATGATTATCGTGGCCTCCTACACTGCCAACCTGGCTGCTTTCCTGGTGTTAGACAGACCGGAGGAACGAATCACGGGCATCAACGATCCTCGGGTAACGAGAACAGCCTATCGCTTCCAAACAGACCTTCCGCTGGCCTGTGACTCGGGAAATGGCACTCAAATATTTCAGTGTATAGTGCCCCAAAGAGGGTGTGTTTCTAAGGATCACAAAAAAGCAAGATCTGTCAGTGTGAGGAAGGCTCCACAGCCCTGGCCATCCAATATAGCCCTGGTTCAGATTTGATGGAGAGCAAAGGGGTTAGGGGGTTGGGGAGCCAAGTAAGTAAAATCTTCTTGTTCTTCTTTTTCCAGTTGCGAAACCCTTCGGACAAGTTCATCTATGCCACGGTGAAGCAGAGCTCGGTAGACATTTATTTCCGAAGGCAGGTGGAGCTAAGCACCATGTACCGGCACATGGAGAAACACAATTACGAAAGTGCTGCCGAAGCCATCCAGGCTGTTCGGGACAAGTAAGTGTTTCGTCTGCGGCGCTCCCGTCTCTCCCATGGCTTCTCCTCTTGGGGTCCCTTTCCTGGAGTAAACGATGGGTTTAGCTGACTCTTCCAGCACAACAGTTGCCTTTACAATAGGGAAAGAGATTGCATTGGGAAGGGAAGCCTGTCCAGTCTCTCCCAGGCTCAAGGAAGCCAGCCAGGCGCAGATGCTCTCTGCAGCCAGTTTAAGCCCCTTCTTGCTTTGAGATGATCTGACCACAGTGGAGGCAGTGGGCTCAGCGGCTTCCCCACACAGAAATGAGCAAACAGGCTCTTCTGATCAGTGGATACGGTGGGTGACTGTCTGGGTTTCCTTCGTCGTGCCTCGTTGCTTCAACCTCTCCCACGTTTACTTGATGGCCTTCCTTCCATCTCCACCACAGCAAGCTCCACGCCTTCATCTGGGACTCGGCTGTGCTAGAATTCGAAGCCTCGCAGAAGTGTGACCTGGTGACTACAGGGGAGCTTTTCTTCCGGTCGGGCTTCGGCATCGGGATGCGCAAGGACAGTCCCTGGAAGCAGAACGTCTCCCTGGCCATCCTCAAGTCCGTACTCTGTCCGGTGGGAGGGGGGGCAGGGAGAGGGGAGAGCGGAGGGCTTTGGGAAAAGGGGGGCAGGTGGGATCAAAGGCCGGTATGCTTCTTTGAGCGCGACAATAGAAAGACAGCATGCCTCTCAAAACACTAGGCTTCAAAGATAATTTGTCAGTAGTTGACAAATCCCTGTGTCAGAGCCCCAAGCACACGACACTCTGTAGCTATTCACTAAGGGTACTAACTTAAGACAGGTGCAAACATCCGGGCGATGGTTAGACGGGAACAGGGAGTAGCGTTTCTGTAGTTCTTTGCTTTACTCACTGCCCTCCACCCCTGCCTCATTCCAGCCCGCTTATCTTGACTATGGGGCCAGTGGCTGGATAAGTCAATCCATCCCGATACAAGAAACACAGAAGAATGATCAATAATCCTATAAAACACTTGTGGGGGGCTTGGGGGAGGAGAAATCCTTCCTGAGAGGTAAGAGAGAGAGAGTACAGAGCTCAGTTTAAATCTCTCCCCATTGGAAAGCTTAGCTCAGGTTGTATCGGGGGCAGAGAAGGAAACCGTTTTCCTCTCCGTGCATCAGGAGTGGTTTCCTTCCCCAGAGAATCATCCGTGCCCCCTTCTTCTGCTTCCAGCCTCCACGAGAATGGCTTCATGGAAGAACTTGACAAGACTTGGGTGAGATATCAGGAGTGTGATTCCCGCAGCAATGCTCCAGCAACACTCACCTTCGAAAACATGGCAGGTAAGGTGGCTGCTTCCTACCTGCTTCACGCTCCCCTATTTTTTTCCCTTTGGACCCCCCCCCCTCCCCAACCTTTTCAAAAAAAGCTCTCCTCCATTTCTTCCAATTCAGCATGTGTTTGACTTTAGTGATGTGTCAGCTGTTATCACAGAAGTCCCTAGGGTTGTAGTTGAATTAACCTTTTTCTGGATCAGCATAACGGATTGAAAAGCTAATCAGTTGGAAGCGGATTTGCGCAACTGAAGGCCTATCGGTTCAAAAGCTGAGCAATCTTAACCAGGGTGTGACTCTACCCACAAGGTTTTCAACTGGCAGGGTGATATGTATACAATGGGAGTGGGAGTAAGGCAGAACCCCGGGGCTGCACCCAAAGACCCACTGGTGAAACTGGGCTGAGTTTGGTCCCTGGGGGAAGGGAAGCGAGCCCCCGCTTCCTTCAAGTTGTCCTTGGGATCCGAGAGCCAGGCTCAGACATCAGGCTGTCCGTACCGGCGGTCATGCCTAAAAAGCAATACGGAGGGTTCCGTCTGGCTGAGGGCCACGGCCACGAGGAGAGAATGCTCAGCTACCAAGGTTGCCTCGGCAGCTTTTGGCAACCTGGAAGCTGGAGCCACCACGAGAGCCAAGCGGCTGCTCTGATATCCCTAGTTGAGCCACGGAACCATAGGATAAAACCTGGCTTTGCTCGAATGCTGCTAATCATGGAGCAAACGGCTTAGAGTGCACTTTATTGTCACTTTAAATGTATACTCATTGGTATGCATTAAAATGAAATTTAGTTTGTATACAGCTCTCAAAGGGTCACCCCCTCCAATATGCACGACATAAACACAACAGAAATAAATAAAAATGCATATGCCCGCCTCTACGCCCACGAGGAGATGGGTACGCTCAAATGCCTCAGCCAAGAATGGAAAAACCCAACCCCCTTTTTTGGCCTGGGAGGTGTGTCCCCTCCTATCCCCCTGCCAGTCATCAAAGGAGCCCAGCTCGAAGCAATGGCAGGGGTCCTCGCCTGGCACTGCCAATACACCAGACCTCTCCACTGGGAAGCCTCCAACAAAGTGGTTGTCCCGGGGGCTTCTGTGCCCGAGAGGGGTGTTTCCAAAGGGCTGAAGCCTTGAGGAAGGGGAGCCGGAGAAGGCCCCGCAGTCTCCGTCCAGATGTCTCCTTTGGGTTAACCTTCCTGCTTGTTTCAGGTGTCTTCATGCTGGTGGCTGGAGGTATTGTGGCCGGGATATTTTTAATATTCATAGAAATAGCATACAAAAGGCATAAAGACGCCCGGAGGAAACAGATGCAACTGGCGTTCGCGGCAGTTAATGTGTGGCGGAAAAACCTGCAGGTAGGACAGACCGTTTTTAGAGCGACACCTCCAAAACAGGTGCGGTTTTTTTTTGTTTCCCATTACTTCACCCAATCAGTGACTACCGTGCTACGTGGGGTGCCCAGCGGCCTCCCTTCCTGCTCGCCACTGGCAGAGGCAGCAGTGCCACGGGGGTGGAGGGAGGAAGGTGGGGGGGGGGTGTTACACACACGCCCCAAGCCCCGTCTACTACTTTCTGAGGAGGCCAGTGAAGCACTCTGCAAATCCAGAGATTGGACAGGCTGGGGGCCCTCAGCCAGCTTCCTCTTCCCTGGCTGTGGCCCAGCAGGGCCCTTCTCCCTCTCCCCGTTTCTGTCCTGGCCATTCAGGAGTCCAATGCTGGGAAAAAATGGTGGCACCCTAAGGCTGCGATGAGGGGAGGCCTTAGGCGATCCAGTGCACGGCTGTGCTTCCAATTATGTGGCTAAAGATGACAGTCACGCCACCGATGGCCCTAGTTCCTTTAGCATCACCTCCTTTGTCAGAAGAGGAGAGTAGAAGGGCAACTTTTCAAACGAGCACAAACCTGCACGCTCTTTTCTCATCCTTTCACATTCCAGCAAATTGGGTCAAGGTCAGGGGGCTCGTGTTACCGGCCATTTCTCCCCACTCCCCTGCTTGGGGTCTGTACAGGACTTAAGCCAGAATCTTAAGCCAGATCCCCGGCTTGCCCTCCTCTTCGTGCCAACGCCACCCACGAAACCAACCAGGTTTCGGCCATCAAATCAGAACGCCCTGTTGCTGAGCGAGCGAGGACATCTGCAGCCGCCTTCAGTGTCCCAGACGGAGGCCGCTGGCTTTTGAGGCACCGTTTCTTAAAACGGCGTGCCCCGCAGGCCACCCTCTCTCATCTTACGGAGAAGCACGAGAGAAGCGGTTTCAGAGTAATACCACCCCCCTTTTTTTTTGTTTTGCAAGGCAGCCCCAAGAAGTCCCTTGTACACAGAAGGGAAAGCGAAGAGAGTTCTGGCAGTCCATCTCCACCTGGTGCTCCTCCAGCACATTTGAGGCTGGGGGGTGGGTGGGTGGGTGGGTTTGGGAGGGGGGAGGATACCAGAAGAAGGCAAGCCAGCCGATGGGGAGCCGCCCGGTCACACAACCATCAATGATCCGATGAACCTCCCTCGATTACCTGCCCTGCCCAGCCCCACAGCCATGCCGGAGGGGTAAATCCAGAACAAGAGCACATTAGTCACTGCCATTTTTCACTTGCCAACTTTCTAGAAAAAGTCCTGCCCTGGGCCATGGGAGGGGTAGGGTGGGGAAAGACTCCGTGGGGCGGTCAATCAAGCATGCCACCCCAGGGCTGATAAATAAACAGAGAACGAATGCTAAGAGATCCGTTTGACAATGTAAGACTTTTTCACAGGAGGATTCCTCAGACCACTAGTATCTGGTACATTGCTAGAAGGTAGGCAAGTGGAAAGATTTCTTTCTTCAAGAAAAAAAAAAAATATTTACAAAAAAGCAAATATATATCTATAACTTTTTTTGTTTGGTTTTATTTTGCTACCTGGGGAAAAAAAAAAAATCACAGTTTTGCCCATGGCTATTTTTGGCAAGGCCATGGGAAGGCGCAAAAAAAAAAAAAAAGAAAAAAAAAAAAAGGAAAACCCAAAACAAAAAAAACCCACCCCCTCCCCTCCCGCCCTCTTGCTAGCTTTTCTTTTTTCTGTGCATGCGCGTCGGAGTCATGGAGAATAACTGGAAAGGAGGAGGAAATGTATCCCCCCGCGCATGCTCCATGCACCAGTGGGATACATTTTTGGTCACCCCCATCGTGGGCTGGTAGAACCACACCTGGTTTCACCTTTTCCTCTCCCAAAGGGGTTAAAGAGAAAAAGAATGGGAAGAATTCGGATCGGCTGGGCTCCCCCACTCACCCTGTCCCGCAAGAAAAGCAAGTACCCCACGGTGCTGACCAGGTTTGACTGCCTACCACCCAACAGCTGTCTTTTTTTTCCCCCCCTCTTCATTCTGTTTCTTTGAGTTCCTGGCATCCTTAAAGTATCATTCAGAATTGTAATGCTTTGCTTATTCCCTTTCTTTTCCTTGTGTTTAAGTTTTAATTTCAAGAGGTTTTTGTTTTGTTTTGTTTTGTTTTTATTATTTTACTTTACGTTGAAAAACAAGTTCAAGTTTTACGCCAAGCATCGCTGAAATTTTTGGAATACTTTTTTTTAACATACAATGACCTTCTCTTCCAATGCAGTCCTCTCTCTCTCTTGTGGCCGTAGGATTCACCTTCAGAAAAGGCCCCGAGCATTTTTATTTAGTGGTAGGTGAAAAGTGTCTCACCTCTCTCTCTAGTTAGGACAGCTGTGACAGGAAGGAAGGAAGGAAGGAAGGAAGCAAGGGGCAGGGAGTGAGATGTTCCCCTAGGGACCCCTGACAGCCGTGTCTGTGTCTCTCCTGGGGTGGCCAGTGGAGCAGCTGAGGCATCTGGAGTGCATAAAATGCAGTGGAAAGCCAGCTGCTGGCTCTGCCCCCCACCCCACCCCATGCCCTTCTCAAGGGGATCCTTCCCACATCTCAACTTAGTTCCAAAGGAGACCTTCAGACCGATCGGCCCTCGGGTAGCGCCCGAGCCGAGGGTCAGGGCCTCGTGTGTGTCTGGGACCGAGAGCCATCAGGAGATGGTAGGCGTTGCCTTGGCCCTAGAAGACAGACCAGAGACGTATCCAGGATCGTGACATGGGGCTGTGTTCATCTAGGTGTAGAGATCCAAGCCACCCAATGGAGATCTAATCGCTTATATACATATTCATTTTAGGATAGAAAAAGTGGTAGAGCAGAACCAGACCCTAAAAAGAAAGCCACTTTTAGGTCCATCACCTCTACCCTGGCCTCCAGCTTCAAGAGACGTAGGTCATCCAAAGACACGGTAAGAGGAAGAAAAACAATTGTGCCCTCTTTCTTTTTCTCACTCTCTCTCTCTCTCTCTCTCTTTCTTCTTCTACCATCCCATCAACTACCACACACCCATCCCAAAGCTGCCCGTGTGACCTACCATAGCCTCATGTCCGTCAAGAGTCAGTTGGTCAGTCGGTCAGTCAGTCAGTCAGTCAGTCAGTCAGTGAGTCCAGTCCCGTGTCCCTTCTTGGCAAGTTTCAAAGCCAAAGAGGGCAAAGGAGGCTTATGAATGCTTTGTAGTGTCCTGTGAAGAGTTTGGAGATAACTGCAATGAGTTCCTTGTTCTAGTTTACTTCTTTCTTTCTTTTGGATTCTTTTCTTTCATTCTGTTTAGAATTGTGGTTTAAGTTTTGCTCACTTTACTGATACCAACAAAAATCAGCTCCCCACCTCCCCTCAATGTTTTCTGAGTGTCCCTGTCCCCGTTTGTACCTATACGCTTAAAAATGGTCCCCGACCCCTCCTGCACTCACAGTCCCCCCCCCTCCCTCTAAATTCTTCCCTTCTAAATCTGGACAATGTCTCACCTCACACACTGAGCCACATGTTCATTGTATTCTTTACTTGTAACTTCTGTTTGTGTTTTTCAAAAGAAAGAGGACATTTTTTTAAAAAACAAAAATATTGTTTTACTTTACTTTTTTTTTTTTGTGAATAAGCGGCAAGTTTCTGCTTGTAACACTTCGGACTGAGCTGTGCAGGCTGGCAATCAATAATTCTTTGGACTGTAGAGCTCTAGAAAGCAAAGTGTGTTGGTGTGTATCTGCCCCCAAACCTTAGCAATCCAGTCCAGTGAGAGAGAAAAAAAAATGCTCCTCTGTTTTAAACCCAAACACCCCGGCCAAAGGAGAAGTTCATGGAAACACTTGCTCTTAGCTTTCTGCTTTTCAACACGCCCCTCGGCGGGCTGCATGTAAAAGTGGACCAAGGGAGGGCATCTCCCATCTGCATGAGCTGGACTGCATGTTGAAATGTTTGGGAAGGAGGCCCTGGCATTTCTCTTTTCTGCTCTGCAGCACACCGCCAGGAACTGGCTCACAAAACTATTTTTTTCTTGCAGTGAGCTTAAATAAAACTTTAAAATATTTATTTTTATTTAAACGGGTTTTTTTTTCCCCCTTTTGAGGGAGGGTATCGTTCATAAAGAGGGTTTTACTACAGGAAGCTACCAAGGAAGGCGGAGAGTTTCTCACTCCACCCCCCACCCCACCCCAGAGTAAGGCAGGAGAAAGTGAGAAGGTTTTCCCAAAAGACTGGGCAGGTTTTGCGGCTGAGCTCAGCCACGTGGAACTCAAAAACTTGGACCTGTAGAAGAAGAAGAAGAAAAACAAACAAACAAAACTCAAAACCTGCAAAGGAGGAAGGACATTCAGATCCCAAAACTTCCTCTGTCCAATGCACCTCGAAGGAAAGCTCTGAAGAAACCACTTCCTTCCATGGGTGCTAAGGACAAAGGAGCACAGCGTAGGGCCAGGGGACTGTCGGTGCTCCCCCAAGATACTGGCCCAGTTTTGTACGAGGGAGACGTTCAACCCCCCCCCAACCCTGTCTCTCAGAGCAGCCCCTAAGCTGGGGCTACTTTAAAATGCCTCCTCCTTCCACAGGCCCTCGGGCAGCCTTTGGGGCAGAGTCAGAGGCTGGAGGTCTCCTCCCGATGGATAGGTACGTCCCAGGAAAAGAAGCCCAAACGGGGTTCTGGACAAGGGTATAGCAAAGCCAGCTAAAACAACAGCCTGCCTGGGAGTCGAGCCACCCCAGTCACTCTCCCGGAAGCCTCTTTGGGGGCATTGAGTCACTAGGCTGAACCCTGTACTGGTGCACAAGACACACAGTGCCCTCTTGCAAGCAGTCCTAAGTGGGACGGAAAAGGGAAGACGCCCATTGGCTTAGCAGGGCGGCCTCCCTATCGCACACAGCCCCCTTCCTATCGGCACCTTAGGAAACCTTTAAGGCAGTGACTCTGTCTGAACAACGTCCATCAAACCCCCTACCCCACAAGGGGACCCAAGGCAGAGACCCCCTCATTCCTTCCCCGTGACCCACTCTTGTGGGGGATGGGATATGGCCCAGCAGAGCCACCTGGTGCTCCCTTTCTGGCCCCCAGGCATCTCTGGCCGAAGGCCCAGCTCCCTTCTCTCTTGAGGGAAGGGCAATTGGCCCTGCCATCGTGGGGCAGGGAGGGGCCAGGCAGCGGCTTCCCTCCCTCACTGCCGCCAAGGCTGGCAATGTGGAGGGCACAGCAGCAGCAGCTTGGCCTGAGGGGAAGCCCCACCCCCAGATTACAACTCCCAGCAGCTTCCTTTTGGGGCCACGTAAGAGGAGCCCTGCAGGGAAGGGCACCTGGCCAGAGGCAGAGAGCGCCTGAGTAAAACGGGGGGCACGGCGGCCCCCAGGGTGCCTCTCTTTTGAACGGCGCTTGGCTGGCAGCGGGTGCTCTTGAGCATTTGCACTCTCCAACTAGCCTCCTTGCACACCCTCTGGCTGGCCTCTTGCAAATAGGGCCCGGAGGGGTTCCAGGGGCCCCAACTCCACTTCCTCGAAGCGCAGGACTGTGACTGCTGGCAGGGCCCCTGGGGCTAGCCTTGTTTGCCAAGGGCCACTCCAGGAAGGGAGCCTATCTGGGCCTTACTTTGCCCAAGCTAGCCACGCCTATTCTGCTCACGGCAAAGAAATAAACGCGGGGGAAACCTTACCCTTTGCAGCCGAGCCTTCCGGTTCAATTCCAGTCTATCCACGCCTCCCCAGTTTAAAATGGAGCCCAGCCTAGTGTGTGTGGTTTTTTTTAAGGCAGGCTGAGCTGCGTCCAGTGCCAGCCTCCGGGTGAGATTGCCAGCAGCAAATCGTTGGTCCCAGTAAGCCCAGGGCAGGGCAAGGCAGGCACAAAACTTCTGTGGAAGAAATGGTCCCTCCTCTCCCGAGTCCCAGCGACAGAAACTCTGACATCCGAGGATCCATCCTTGGAGACCTGGTTTTGTCTCACGGGGTCAGAGAGCGTTTCCAATTCTAGGTTTCCCAGAGAGGAATGGGCTGGAAACGGACTCAAAGACGGACGAACTGATAGCTGTTGGTTACGCCTGTAAAATCCCTTTCCCATCCTACTAGAACGCAGGATCAGTGGATCACAGCGATCCACGTGGCAGTTCTGGGCTGGGGGGGGGGGGGGGGAAACGCCACAAAATTAGCGGGTAGCTTTCCCAGCCCTGATGTCCCATGGCCACCTCTAGTTCAGGCAGCTTTCATCCCAAGGGCCCAGGGAGGCCACAAAGCAGGGCCCTCGCAAGGGGCGATTAGGCCGAGGACGTCGACTCCGCCAGGATTTCTGCAATGCTCACAAATCCCCCAAGGTTTCTGTCCGGCCACGATAGGAACCAGAGGCCGGGCTGGATTTAATCCAGTGAGCCTTCAGGACTTTTGTTAGGGACCAAAATCAGCATCAAGCAGGAAGCGGCCTCTGCGTCAAGGCACAGACACAGGAGCTAGCTGAGTGGGCAGATCCGTGGCTGCGTTTGGAGGCCACGGCGGGTCAGGCAGGTGAAAAACCCTTAGACTGCAAGTCTCGAGTGAAGAAGAGAGACAGGTTGACATGCGATGAGGGGAAGGGTTGTTCTCAATGGGTTGCTCAGTCTTCTCGAAGGGCAAATGCTGCAGGTTTGTTGGGCGGGCAAAGTGGCATTCTGTGTGGGGCACCGTGGTGAGGGTCGATGCTCTTTGCACAGCTGGATTTTGCCTTTAACTCTGGAACTGCAGCCAATGCCTCTGTAATAGACCATGTGCCATTCATGCGCCTGCTCCCTACAGACAGCCCCGCGATGTCACCACGCCCAGCATCCGTGAGCTGCAGTGCAGATAGCCCTGTAGAGACTCCCGGCTTCAGGAGCTGCTCAGCACAGGGTGGGCTCTCGTCCTGAATGTTGATTGACTTTTGTCCTGTACCCACGTCCTGTATTACGGGGGTCTGTAATGGGCAAGGAGCGTGAGGGCCCAGGCAGGGGCGAACGGCAGGCCCTAGAGAGCCCGGGAGGAGGGCGCCAGGAGGATGCGGGGGGGGGGGGGGGGGGGGGGGAAGTGGCCGGGTTTGGGGGAGGTCGGCATGAGCATTCTCTGAAATGTCCCACCTACAAGGAAGAGACGTTGACTGGCCGGACGTTGGTGGAACGCCAGGGCTGTCACGGCTGAAACGTGCCAGGAGGGGAATTAGTTGCTCTCCAGGCAGTTGAACCAGAGGGCCGCAGAGGCTGTCATGTAACACGTCCACCCACCCCACCACCCTGTCCCAAGCGGGGAATCCCTGAGAGATGATGCAGGTCTCTGTTGTCCCGGCAGGCAGGCGGAGGAGGCGGGAGAGGAGAGCAGCGGTCCAGCTTGGGGGCACCAACCATTGCAGCACTGCCACCAGGCAAGGAGGGGGCAAAGGAAGCCACGGGTTCCCATCGGGCATTCCCTTCGCATTCTGCTCATGTGTGCCAATCATTCGGTTTTTTGGTTTTTTAAAAAAAAAGGTGTTCACAGCAGCACTTTTTAAAAAAAATATCTGGGGCAATTTGAAGTTATTTTTGCCACGAACTATTGCTAGTAGCTTTGAACTCTCTAATGAATGTCCTAGTAATAAATTGAGGGGATCTGCTTTTGTTCCCCAAAAGGTTTTCCTCCAAGAGGGCGAACAAGCACTGGCCCTCCCCCTTCCAGCAGGGACAGCAGAGACCCTTCCGGAGGCCTTGTCTCTACACACACCCCTTATCAATTACCTCCCCAATTTATTACAAACCAGGCTAATTTGAGTTGCATCCTTCTCCACTCCCTGGCCACTGAAGCCATGTCCCAGGGTGCTAAAACTAAGTGGGAGAGTGCCACCGACTCCTGGTGGCTCTGGGGAAGAGACTTTGGGCCCGGCCCTGGCCAGGCTTCCCTCGTGGGCTGCATCCTGTGCAAGGGGACCTTCCACTGGCACTCCGCGCGCGCAGGCTGCGGCCCGAAGCGAGGGGCAGAGAGGGCCCCGTGCATCATCCCTCAGCGATCTCCCATCGGGACCTGCGTCTCAGTTGCATCAGCTGCTCGCAGCCGACCCTGCCCCGCCTAACATCCGGCCTGTCTGTCTGTCTGTTTGTCTCTTGCAGCAGTATCACCCCACCGACATCGCTGGGCAACTCAACCTCTCTGACCCCTCGGTCAGCACCGTGGTCTGAGATCTCGGGACGGACCAATGGAGACTCCGAGGGACCTTCTGGAGACACCAAAGGGAAGCCTTGGCTATCCACCCACGGCGTCTGCATTGCTTCCTTCCCTCCGGCCCCGATAGACCCCTGCTTTCTCCAAGGGGGACCAATCTCACTTGCGGCCTTGGGATGAACTACTAAACACCTGGGGCCTGGCGGCACCTCCGTTTTTTTCTAGAGCATGACCTCCATTTACTTCTCCTCCAAGACACACAGAGAAGGTAGTTCTGAGGGAGACACACACACCCCACCGCCACCAAGGAGAGGATGGATGGCACATCGGACCGGGTCTCTTGGGGAAGAGGGGAAGAGTCTCGTCATTGTTACCTGCATGCACTGAACCTCTTAAGCCCACCTTACTTCACCCGACGGTTTCCAGATTGTATCGGGACAGCGAAGAGGCCCCCAGCCCCACAGTTCATCACTCCCTATGTTTATATATAGTTCTGTAAAAAAAAAAAAAAAAAGGCCTGTCAGTCCACCACATCCCACCCAGTGAGCCCCGTGGCCCTTTTTTCGGCTGCCAGTGTTCCCTCAGGACAGCCAAGGTTTTCTCTGACGGGGAAGGGAAGGGGGGAATCTCCCCGTCTCTCTCTGTTTTGACTACTTCTTAGTTCCTTTGTGAAACAGAATTTTAGCCAACCCCTCCCACGCCTCCCACCTGGTAAAGCAACATTTCCGGTAGGACGGGAAGTTCCCAGCTTCTCGGCGACGCTTTGCTGGCTGCCGGTCCAAATCTCCAGCTTGCTCCTCCTTTGCAGAAGACAGAAGTGCTTTCTCTGCCACGGACGGACGGACGGACAGATAAACGCCGGCGCTGACCCCTTTGCTCCTTTCCTGGGCTGGGATCAGGGGTGGCAGCCTTGGAATCGTTCCTCTCTTCTCCCATGTGCATTGAGATTTCTAACAAACCTCCTCTGGCAAACAGGGCCCTGCCAAGATCTTCTAGCCTTTGAGAGAGAAGGTCCCAGTTCTTTCCTCCCCTGGCCCCAACACAGTGCTCCTCAGAACCATCCCTTCCCCACAACCCATTATCCCATGGTCCAGCATGTGCCACTGCCTTCTGGAAAGGAAGCCAGGCCTTCTGGCTCTCCAGCTGAGAGTTATCGTGTTGGTTCTCTTGACCCTCGATCCTCACGATATTTTTCATTTCCACACTCAGGAGGACCAAAGTACCAGCCTTATCCCTACTCCAGCTGCTCTTTGCCGCCTAATGCTGGCTTGTCTCCTACGATGGTTACGAGTTTGACTTAGCTAATCCTATAAAAATACCCTTCGGGTGTTAAACTGGAACCCCAAATTTGTTTTTGCCATTGTGGGTGCAGAATCCCAATCCAGATTAAGATCATCCCATTTGGTCCAAAGATGATCTGCTCTGTCGAGAAGCAGGAGCGCCCCTTCGTCTCTCCCTCTCCGTGCCGTGTGGTCAGAGCCCAGGGGAGGCCGCAGGGGCCAGCCGGCCTCGCCATGCAGCCATGGAGGCCTGGGCAGCTCCGAGTGAGCGAGGCTAGAGTGTCGCTCCGGTGCTGCCAGCGCTTCTGAGAGCCAGCCAACCTGATTCCGCGCAGTTCACGTTGCAATCGCCCAGGGGTTAGCAGAGTAGCGCCAACTTGGGTTGCCTCTCAAGAACTCCCAACTTGGAGGAGGCACCTCAACACACAACCACCGCCTGCTCCTTCTACCGGATCCCCCCCCCCACACCTCCTTATGTACCCTTCAACCTGGATCCTAATTTACCAAACTGGACTGTGTGCACCTACATGGGTTCTGTACGTGCTTACTCAGTAGTGGGGCCCGTTGCATTCACTGGGACCTTCTCCTAGGTAAGTAGAGATGGACCTGTAATTCTGACCAATCTTTTTGAAATAAAGCAAATGACCTTGGACAGGTGCCCAGAGCCGGACTGAAGAAGCCGTGTTCAATAATTTAGAGTTATCATACTTATGTATAGTTCTGCTATGGGTTTTTGTAACAGTGAATTTAAATCCATTAATTTAAAACGACATATTCATGCCTCTGTGTGTGTGTGTGTGTGTGCGTGTGTATCTGCAAGGATACTTCTTTGTTTAAATCCACAGCAAAGAGGAAAAACAAGAGGCAGCAGTCTATATTTTCCTTCCTCAGTCTGAATTTAAAATAAAATTTCCACAAAGACTTGCCGCAAAGTCTTTCTCTGCTCCTTTACAGGCCCTGGGGAAGACTGGCTGGTCGATGTTTCTCCCAATTCCCCAGGCGCAGCCCGGTTATAGAAGTCAGCTGTAAAAGAGGGGCCAAACACGACAACTCTGGAATTCTTGGATGGTTCAGCAAAAATAAATACTGAAAATACCCGACAAGTTGCAGTAGCTGGAAGCATAAGATGCCATGCGAGGTGGAGGTGGAAGTCACCTGCAGAGACTGGAGAAGATACCACACTGAAGGCCCAGCAGGAGGAAAAGGGTTGCTTGGAGAAGGAAGGAAGGAAGGAAGGAAGGAAGGAAGGAAGGAAGGAAGGAAGGAAGGAAGGAAGGGGAAAAGAAAAGAAAGAAGAGAAAAGAGAAAAGAAAAGGGATGCTTCTGGGGAAAACAGGAAGGGAGCCTTCAATAATTCTTTGCAGGTGGAGGGCGGAGCTGGCGTCGCGACGATACGGCATGCGATCTCGGAGGTCTGAGATCTCGGAGGTCTGAAGAAATGATGGTGGGACCAAGCAGGAGATGGGATTGGGTCTCCCAGATCACATGGCCATCAGGAAGGCACTGGATTTTAGCACGTATATCATGGCTGGAAAGGCTGGTCTCAAGACATGGCCTAGTTGTGGCTTTGTTGTTTCCGATAAGAAAATGGGCACCATTTTTTGGCTTCAGTAAAACACAACACCTGCCATGTAGCCCCATCCAACCAGCCCAACCGAAGTGTGTGTTGGGGGGGGGTGTCAGGGAGACGTTCTCCGACTGCCGGGCTGGAAGGTGAGCTGCTTCCTGAGCCACTCCGAGGTTGGCAAGCCAATGCCCGGCTGTGCTGTCCCTCCAGGGCAGTGCCTGTTGGGCCAAGCTCCAGCAAGGAAAGGATGCACAGATACCCCTCTGGTTCCCTTGACAAGCTAGGCTTCACTGGGCACCAGAGGTGGGTTATTCAGCAGGTTCTGGCCGGTTCTGGAGAACCGGCAGTGGAAATTTGGAGTAGTTTGGAGAACTGGCAAATCCCGCCTCCGACTGGCCCCGCCAATCCCATCTATTCTCCGCCTCCTGAGTCCCAGCTGATCGGCTGGGTTCTTCTTTGGTTGCCCTGCCCAGGAGAACGGAGCTGCAAAGCAGGTTAGTGGGGTGGGGAGGGAATGGGGATTTTGCAGTATCCTTGCCCTGCCACGCCCACCAAGCCACACCTACAGAACCGGTAGTAAAAAAAAAAATTGAATCCCACCACTGCACGACATGGTCAGCCTTTCTGCTCCAGCTTAGACCTGAATGCTGTGTATTCCTCCCCGCACCCCCAGCCCAGACTAGGACTGGCTCACGCCTTGATTTTCCCTTTCCAAGGAGAATAAGGGGAAGCCCCCCGGGCCTGCGCATCATGGGTATGGTGGTGGTAGGGGTCCCCACCTTGGTATTCAGATGTTCCCTGGTTGAGGACAAGGAGCCCAACCCTGCTCTCCCCATTTCCTGTCAGTCAAATGCAGGCTCTGTCCTCTGCAGAGGCTGCATCTCAGCTGCTTCCTGGCTGCCACTGACTAAATCGGGGACCTCTGGCTGTGCCAGACCTGGGAAGCTGACAAGTGCTGTATAGAGAGTAAGGGGCCCAGAGCCCAGCGAAGAGGCTTCCGGGGCACTGAGAGGCCATGGCACTCTTGGCATTGGCAGCCCCCGTTTTATCTCATCTCCCTTTCTGTGGAAAACCTGTGAAGTCCACCAAGCCGCGGCACAGAAGGGGCTATTGCTGCTCCAAGAAACGGGAGGAGGGCGCCGTGCTTTTCAGGAAACACCAATGCCACCTGCAGCCGAGTTACATGGGAAGGATGCTCCAGCCTCTGCCTGACCCCCGTGGCCACCTCAGTGGGGGAAGAGGCATTTCCTCCCTCGTACCACCGAATACGGACCGCTCTTACACCAGGGTTCCCAAGTATGGCTCTTTGGATAGGGATAGGTATGTGCAAGCCCAAATCAAGGACCCAGCCACTGGCTGAGAGAGCAATTGGGATTTTAGGCGCAAGGTATTTGAAACAGAAACGATTTCAAAAACTATTATATAAATAGCAATAGCACTTGGACTTATATACCGCTTTATAGTGCTTTCCAGCTCTCTCTAAGCAGTTTACAAAGTCAGCCTCTTGCCCCCAACAATTTAGGTCCTCGTTTTACCCACTTCGGAAGGATGGATGGCTGAGTCAACTTTGAGCCTGGTGGTATTTGAACTGCCAAATTGTAGGCAGCCGGCAGTCAGCAGAAGCAGCCTGCAGTACTGCACTCTCACCACTGCGCCACAGGGGCTCCTGATGCTGCAGTTCTGCTGGCAGAGACACAGGGAAGAGTGCCAAAGGACCGTTGTTTGGGAGCGAAACCCGCTTACTGCGGGGGGGTCCCTGCGCGCCTCACCCGAGCCAGTGGCCGAATGCCTGAGCCCATCCTCCTCAGTTTCAGGTGCGCCACTGCCACCGAGCCCAGTAGGATGCCGACACAAATGCTGGCCAGGAAAGTTGATGGCCCGATCAGGAGGAAGAAGGCATAGCCGGGGAGATGCATCCGGGGCGGCTGGCAACGTGCAAAAGATGTGTTTCCAAGGGCTGAGATGGGATACTGGGTGAGGGATGCTCGGCGTTTGCAAGTCAACGAATTCGCCTCTGGAAGAAAGAGCAGCAGAGAGCCAGTAGTGGCAAGGCCATCTTGGTTGAGGAGCCCCACTCACCCCACGCACCTCGTCTGGCTGCTTCTTTTCACTTCTATCTTCTGCTTTTGGCTGCACGCAAGGAAAACAGCAAAAGTCTTTCTTTCTCTCCCCCTGAGAAAGGAGCTGGAGACGGTATCCCGTGATCCCAAATAAAGAATGATCGATCGGCAGGAAAACGGGGTGGGGAATTTTCCTGCAGACTTTTTTTGGGATTTTCCCAGGGTTTCTGGTCCGCGGGATTTAAAATTGTGAGTTTGGTGGTCCGAGGTCCAAAAGGTTGGCGACCCCTGGCCTAGAGGGGCTCAGACACCGAGTACTAGCTGGCTGCTTACCTGGAACTTTGTCCCCGTTCTTCGCCAGCCACAGGAAGAGGGACCAGAGGCCACAGGAGCAAATCCAGGGATTGCCTTCAAGGGTCAGGTAAGACAAGGAAGGAAGGCTTTCGAAGAAGCCAGCCGGGAGGTCGCTCAATGCATTGCGGTGGACAAAGAGGGCCCTGAGACGGGGGAGGGCCCGGGGGAGTTCTGGCCCCAGCCTCAGGAGCCTGTTGTGCCCCAGCATCAGCGTCCTCAGGGTTGGCACTGGGAGGAAAGTGTCTGGGTGCAGGAGGCTGAGGGAGTTGTTGCTCAGGTCCAGGTCCTGCAGCTCATGGAGGCCCACCAGGGCCAGGCGGTGAACGCTGGTCAGGATGTTGTTGCGAAGGCTCAAGCGGCGCAAGACTTTCTGGGCCGCAAAGCTGCCGTTCTGGAGGGTGGCGATGAGGTTGTGTTCCAGCAGGAGGGCGGTGGCGTTTGTAGGCAACTGGAGAGGTACCAAACGCAGGCCCCGGTCCACACAGTTTACTTTCCCCAGGGAGCAGCTGCAAACATCTGGACAGCCAGAAGTAGGAAAGTGTGGCAAGAAGAGGAAGATGGTGAGGGCTGTGAGGGCTCTTTGCCTTCGGCCACCAGGGCAGCGGCGATGATCGGTGGCTGCCAAGTGCAAAGCCCAGGCCCTGGTGCTTGAAGCCATGGGTCTCTCGGGCCCACCCCTGGAGAGGCTCCACATCTGTTCCTCAGCTCCACCGCTTCGAGCAATGGGAGGGTCAGGAACCGGTGAAGGTCTGCCGCCGAGCTTCCTCACTCAACACCTTTTGCTCCCAAAAGTTTTGCACGCTTTCCTGTGTTTGGAGCAACTTTTAGCAGAACCTCTTGGGTGTGTAGTTGATTCTGAGTCAAGCTTCTGCCCTTCCTTAGCAAATATTTTGACAGGCAGCCGTGCCAAGGAACAAAGCAGCCACTTCCTCCTGGGCCCGGCTGTCCTGGCCTAAGGAACCACCTGATGCCTGCCCCTCCTGGTCTGGCTACGTTCTGTACACAGACGGGTCTTGGCCTGTGCCAGGAAAGTTACTTACCGGCGGGTTTGCGCTTCCCCGTCTCCTGCCAAGGAGCATCTCTGACATGCAAAATCTGCAAGGCTCCCCCAGGTGGAACGGGCAGTGCTGAGCTCAAGAAAAGCTCCTCACCCAAAAGTACCACAAGCTGACAGGGTCGGCCTTTCTGAGAAGTGACTAGCAAGAGCCGCTGGGTTTGGTCTGAGGGGAAATCTCTCTGTAGCAGCCAGGGTGACGCAACTGGAGATTACTGGTGACATCTAACAAGGAAGCCATTGTTAAAAAGCTGGTGGAAGGCGGGAATGTTGGGTTCACTCCAGCAAGGAGCCTCTGTGGCGCAGTGGTTAGAGTGCAGTACTGCAAGCTGCTACTGCTACAGCCAGCTGCCTACAATTTGGCAGTTCAAATCCCACCAGGCTCAAGGTTGACTCAGACTTCCATCCTTCCGAGGTGGGTAAAATGAGGACCCAAATTGTTGGGGGCAAGAGGCTGACTCTGTAAACCAGAGGTCTCCAACCTTGGCAACTTTAAAACCTGTGGACTTCAACTCCCATAATTCTCCAGCCAGCATAGCTGGGAGTTGAAATCCACAAGTCTTAAAGTTGTCAAGGTTGGAGACCTCTGCTGTAAACCACTTAGAGAGGGCTGGAAAGCTCTGTGAAGTGGTACATAAGTCTAAGAGGGTTTGCTATCATCTATCTATCTATCTATCTATCTATCTATCTATCTATCTATCTATCTATCATCTATCTGCCGTGGTGGCACAGTGGTGAGAATGCAGAACTGCAGGCTGACTCTGCCAACTGCCAGGAGTTCGATCCTGATGGGCTCAAAGTTGACTCAGCCTTCCATCCTTCCGAGGTGGGTAAAATGAGGACCCAGATTGTTGGGGGCAAGAGGCTGACTCTGTAAACCACTTTGAGAGGGCTGTAAAGCACTGTGAAGCGGTATAGAAGTCTAAGTGCTATTGCTATTTTTCTTAGAAGGAAACGCCAGCAAGCAGCCATCTCCGGGAAGTTTCTCCCAAATTGTCTTTGCCAGCCTTAAGGATAAGGGCACTCTGGCAAGGTGCCCTCTGACCGTCTTCGCAGAGAGAAGCACAGGAGCGCCTGGCCACCTGCCTTCCCTCTCACAGGTGGGCAGGTGAGTGGACCCCAATGCTGGCCCAGCTGTCAATCTTACTCCCCCTCTGCTCCCCCTTTCAGAGAAGGCTGAGAATCGCCATGCATTCATTTTGCTAAGGTTTTTTTTTACTTATTAGTGAAAATGAAGGAAAATACAAAATTCCCAAGGGATCCCTGGGGGGGGGGGGGAGATTGGGGGGGGGGAATCTGGGGCAGAGAGCAGAAAACCCCCAGCCCACACGCCACCCAGGGCCTGGGCTCCAAACTTCAAAACCACTTGTAGAAACGACTGAACTCCTTGTCCTTACAGCGTAGAGACCACCCCGTGCTCGACCAAAGTGGCCCCTGGGTTTTTGGGGACCAGGAGTCTCACAAAACAGAAGGACCACGGAAACACCGTCCTTGGCACCTCCGCAGCCTTTATTGGCCTCTTGCTTTCCTTTTCTGTCATGGATGCTTGGCGTCATCATATATGACCTTGGAGGAGACCGCCCGGTCCCTTTCATCCTCAGCCGTGAGATTGAGGGAATGGGACACCTTGAACTGGATCATGGTGACAAGAGCAAACTCGTCAGGCTCCAGAAAGCTCAGGCTGGCCTCTGCATGGGGAAAGAGCAAAAGATCCCGGCTAATTGCAGGTGGGGGGTGGGAGGGATCCTACCGTGGTAGCAAACTCTCTGACCTGGGGTTGCAGCCCTTCCCAGAAGGCAAAAGGGACCCTGGAGGGCATTCCAGGAGAGCAAAGGCAGCTGCTTCCAGAGGGAGGCACCGAGCAAGACAGTGGCCAGTTTTGCCCAGGTGAAGGCCATTGAGCCCAGCTGGCAAGATGACCGGGTGCCAATGGATCCAGTCAACCGAGGAGAAGCGCCAGTGCGACATGTTTTAGCTGAAGGAACCTCAGAATAGAGTGGATCCCACAACCGCGGGGCGTTCCCCCCATGCTCCTAAGGCTTCTGAGCTAACGTACCAGTGCAGACAGGGATGCAAACTGAGCACTTCGTCCCAGGAGTCATTTGCTTGCAATCCTCCACGCAGGTCTGCACAGGGACGCCACAAACTGCAGCAAGACGGAAGCATACGGCCACCTTAGGGATGGGCCCACCCCCGGCCATCGTCGGGTTCAAGCGGGATATAAAGGGATCTGGAAACTGGAGCCAAGCAGCTTCTATTTCCTCCAGATAAACGGAGTGAAACAAACACAACCTACCCATCTTTCTGAGTGTACTTTTGGTGGAACCTAGGTAGGTCAAGTCAACAGAAATAGTTCTTACTCGACGGAAGAAAACGTAAAGATAACACGGCAGAGCTGGTGGCATCTAAGAGCCAAAGGCAGAAGCGGTGCCCCAATTCCCTTTCCCCAAAAGGACCCCGGCTTCCTCAGGAGAAGGCCTTTCCCGCTACTATGCAAGAAACACCAGAGCAGGGCCTTCAATGCATGGACTAGGTGGGAAGGAGAGAGGAACATGTAGTCCTTCTTGAAATAAACACCAATGTTTTGTGTCACTGTCTGACTTCCAGATACACAAGAAGAGCAGCTGCCTCTCTTTGTTGGAGAGTTCACTGGGCCTCTGCTGGTCTCTAAAGAGCTCCATGCCGCTCCTGGACCCTCACCTTTCTCTGCCGTGGTCTCCAACCTGCCACTGCAGTCGCAGGCTGGCCGGGCTGCGCCTGCGGAGGTCTTGCGGCAGGCCAAGCCGCTAAATCCTTCCGCGCAAACTGAAAGAAAGCAGAACCAGGCATGACGGGCAAGTGCACCAAGACCCCAGCCCCATTTCTGGGAAACACGGGGGGAACTGTGGCGACTGTAGAACCCACATCAGACGAGATCCACTGTTTTTCTTCTCAGCTAGCTCTCAAGCATTTGGACATTTCTGACGCTGAGGGCCAGAAGAGAAGTGCAAAATGGCAGAGGGAGGACAAGGAGGCCAGTCCCTCCATCTCTTAAAGCAGCTCTTAGCTTTTGCTAGAGGTTCCCCTTTGAAGGAGCCCCCTCCCTCTGCCCAGCCCCGCGGGCCCCATCAGACACGTACTGGTCCACACGTGGAGCACTGAGTCTGCTTTGGGGCTGGCATCGTCCTTGCTGCTGAGCAGGTAGAAGCCAGACCTTGTCTCCAGCACAGCCACACACACAGGGCGCTCCAGCAGGCAGTCCCGCTTGGCCCCCTCCAGGGTCTCTGCAGAGGGATAGAGCAGCGACGGCTCTCCCGCCACGCCGTATCCAGCCCACTGATCAAACCACTCTGTGGCTGGGAAGGAAAGGGAGGGACACAAGAGGAATCATTTGCTTTCCATTAAAAAAAAAAAAAAACTAAGAAGCTATAAAGCTGCTTTTCAAAACTAAGAAGAAACAGCTGAAGTGGCTCACGAAATACAAGTCTTGGCAACCACGAGGCAACGATAAACACGGGCTTAGCAGAAGTTCTGAAGGCTTTGCAACAGCAGCCCAGTGAGACAAAAGGACCCACTTTGGAGCCTTCGCTGAACAGCCCACCCAGGAGGAGCCTTTCTGTGTCAATGCCTGCTGTTGCTCCCCAAGTTGTGTGAATACAGGAAAGCTAAGAGGGGGAGCAGAAGGCAAGGAGAGGGAGGACTGGCAAAATTCCTGCCCCACCCGGTTTCCGCAGCCTCCTCTCTCACCTTCAGGGCATTTGCACAGGAAAGGCCTTTCCTCCCCACAGCTGGCATCCCTCAGAAGTCCAGTTGCCGAGTCGAACCACACACAGTCCTTCAGCCCTCCGTTAGCCACATCGTCTTGCAGGTGCCTGTTCCATGCAGAAGAGCCAAAAGGGCCCCCAGGGTTGGCACCCAACTCGTAAGGCCCCCTGGCAGAGGGAGCACAAGCTGGCAACATGGGGCAGGAGGCCTCTTAGTGGCCGTGGTGGGCTGGTTGGGGGAGGCTTCAGGGGCCCCAGCAGATGGGGAAGGGCTGGGCAGGGTGCAGAACCTTACGGGTTCCTCTCATTAAGCCACAGGGGAAATTTGAGACTGGGGATCCTTCTCCAGCTGCAGGACACTCTGCTGTAAGGGAGGAGATCACTCCTACGGCCACTTACTGGGCCACCTGCTCGCTGAGGGGCTCCAGGGCTGACCAGCGAAAGACCGATTCATCCTTCCGGTCATTCAAGCCTGTCCAGAAAGTGCCTTGGAAGTGTGAACGCACCCAGTCCTGGATGGAACGAAAAAGGATCCACAGTCCCCCAGGAGAAGAAGCTGTTCCCTGCCCCCACCGCCCAGAAGACCCAAGGTCTCCCTGGTGGGAACCTGCTACCCCTTCCTGACTGGCTCGCAGGGAGGAAAGAAAGGGGGAGTCGAGCCATGAGGGTGGAGGACAGGGGCCGTGGTTTGCGCAAGGAAGGGGAGGTGGTCCCTGCTTGCCAGCCACCTGCAGAAGGCACAGCGGCCCCTTGGTACACTTGGCGTGGGAAGGAGGCCTAGAAGAGAAATGGTACCATCTCCTGTAGCGAGGTCAAGTACAGCAGGTCTGTCTTTCTGAACCTCCGGCAGGCCTCCTGGGCCACTGGCCAGGCCCCAGCAGAGGAAGAGTCCCAGAGGTAGCAGCTGCCATTCCAGTGGCTCCAGCCGGGCTCAGCTGGGCAGGAACTCCAGGGTGCTGAGCCAGAGAGGAGAGGGGCATGAGTGAAGAAAACACCCATGGGGCCCAGAGGATGCCCGCCACGCCCATAGCTCTTCTTTCCCAAGCACTGGCAGACGGGCCGCCATCCTGCTCCTTGCCAAAGGAGTGCTGGTCCGGTGTGCTGATGGGGAGCTGGGCTGTGAGGCAGGCCCGGTCAGTGCCGGACTTCTGCGCCTGGGGCTGTAAGACGACCCCACCACGCCCCAGCCAGCCACTCACCCCAGAGCCCCTCGCACACCCAGGGCTTGAGGTGGGAGCACGGGGAGGTGGCCAAATC